TATATTCAAAGAACCTATGTTATATAGATACATTGTAAATAGGGCCTGTAAATCTACAAGATTATACAAAATAATGTTTTATCACATGGTCCTTTATAGAGCAATAACATATTGAAAAAATATGAGAATATGTCAAGAGTACTTGCCACAAATTGATGAATTGAAAGCTAGCGATAAAGTATACCTATAAGTTGCTTACTAATTTGGTCAATGGAAAAAAAATATTTTCTAAACCCCTTTAAATAACCGTTTCATATCTACTACTTTGATTTATTATCATATGAACTTCCAAATGCAAAATTGTATTATTCAAATTTATTCTTAACTCACGAAGCACCTAGTACACGTTCTCTTCTTTTGGAAACCATCTCGTTTTCCATTGAAATCCATCGAACCGCACTGCGTGTCATTCCCGCGTTGACAAAAGGGAGCATCTCTCCCCTCTCCCGAGCATCCCGCTTCCGTTCCGTCCATGATTTCGTCTCCAGCGCCATATATAATGCGTCATACTTGCCTGTCTATCTGTTTCCAAAGCCTTAGAACGCCCGCTAGCTACTAAATCAATACCCCGTCGTTCCCTTTGCTCTTCGCGCCCTTCGCCCGAATTCCCGGACTCATCTTCACGACCACATTTGGAAAATTGAAAATTTATGCTGTACTTTTTCGGCTGCGATTGTGGATATTGTCTGTTCGTTTATTTCCATTGCTTTTTTTTCAGGCGAATAAACGCCGGGGAAGTTTAGAGAGAGGATGGAATTGATGAGTTCGTTTCTAAATATTTCCAAATAGTAGTTGAAAATGTTCATCTAAATTCATCTAAAAAAATTCACCTAATAACTCCTAATAATAATAATAATTCACCTGATCTACTCTAAATATAATCTAAATTATAACAAATTCACTATCATAATTAAAGATATATGGATAAACTACTAAAGTGATCGCTTAAACTGATACATATATTTACCCTCAATCTCGAAGAGAAGAATGGCTTCTGTGCTGTATTTACCTTTGCCCCTATATACCCGAACCCCAGTCTATTGTATATCGCTTACCCTAAAAGAGAACAAGTTTCTCTTCCAGTGGCTGTGCTTTGTATACACGATGTCCCATTTCGTTTACTTTTCGTCCCACATTTTACGTATAATACAAATTGCACTCACTTTCATTGCAAAAATTGACCAATACCTGCTGTATCCGTGTAATTATGTAAGAAAATGTATGCTGTGTTTAATGTTAGTTTTGAACTGTCTAATAATATTTTCGCTGCCTTTCATCATTTCGTTCGAAAAAAAATTCATTTCTGACTGAAATCTGTTGTGAGACGTGTAACAGCTGTTCTTTTCTATCAGGAGCATCCGTAACTGGTGTTTCATTTGTGTATTTTCGTCCTATTTTATAACAAGGGTGAGTTTGATTCGTGTAAATTTATTGCGCGAATAATTCATCTGGCGTTTTAGTTTATAGAACTAAAACTTTAATTATAGATTAATAAAAGAAACGGGAAGGAAAAAGTATGTTCTGTATGCTTAAATTTGTTGTATTTTTATTGTTAATTCAAATAAGAAGACTCACAACTAGGAAAGTTCATTTAATTTATTTCGAGGTTTGAAATAATAATCAATTGAAATAATTTAGGTATTAAATAAGGTCTATACTTAAATTATCGACATAGGAACTTGTTGACGTTTCCTATAACAAAAGAAAAAGTATATCTGGTAATACGGAAAAGTTTCCGAACATTTTTCAACATCCACATGCTCCTGCAGTTTTGAAGTAAACTTTTTAATTACAATAAAATGCCATCTAACTAATTACACCGTAGTTTCTGTGCCGACAGAGATTTTAAATTTAGATAAAACGCTGCCAAAATTTCGTTTCCTGTAGCTATAAATTAGAGTGTTTGGCCGACATGGAGTTCGGATTAATTCATCTCTTTCAGATTAACTCTAGTGAACTGACGTTGGCGTGAGCGTTTTTCACGAAAGGAAAGCGCTATGGCGCTACGAAAGTTCGACTGGTCCGCCCGAAAACATGAAATTCCAAATGAAATTATCGCTTCGGGTTTGGTCCACCACGCTTTTAATTGATTGCAGGTAATCGATAGTTTTGTTGGCGTTCGTGTTCCAAATATGTTTTTTTTTTCTTTTCCCTTCTACACATACATTTCGAATGCCGATATCGTGTTATGCGTAACTATGCGGCGCCTACAGCGAAAATTAACATAAAAAAATGTTAAAGTATTGTATAAACTAACCTGTTGCTAGATTAAATACCGACAATTGTTAAACAATGCACGTATAATTATTTATTTTTAACAACTGCACAAAATCAATTAAAACGGCTATGCGAAGTTGAACGGTAGGTACCCGATAACGTGCGTTTAATTTCATTAAAAATCTATTTGCACAGCTCGGAGGAAGAAATTGATCAGATAAGAAAAACATGCGATACTTAATAACTGTTGCGATTAAAAAAGCAACCCTTGGTACAAGTACCTACCTATTCTTCCAGTTGTTAAAATCCGGGTTTTGTCAGACATTTTGAGGAAACGGCACCGCCGCTTCGACCAAATATATTAATTCATGACCGTGGCGGAATCGTTGACTGCCAATAGCTTCAGCATGATTCAAGTTGCACTCCAACTTCAATCTGCTGAAGTCCCTACCGTGAGTGGAATGCTAATTCCACTTCTGTGAACTGTGCCGGCCGCGGTCGGTATGGCCTTTTCAGCTTTTATCTCTTCTCTACGTCTACCCATTTTTTTAGCGGTTTAGTTTTTTCGGTCGCCCGACCGACCCCGCTTTGAGCCATTAACGGTATTTTTGAATTGAAAAATGGTATAAAATAAAAAGACGGCTTGCATTAAAAGCCCTTAAAATCATCTTCAATAGTCACTAATTTAATCGATTTTCATTGATTCCCATTAGACCCGTTGAAGTATAATAATAAAATCATGCTGGTTTTTAATGCGTCTGGAGAAGTATTCAAAATTGGTACAAATAATCAAGATAAGTCATGTTCTTGAAGATACAAAATTGTTCACTGAAAAACGCCCTTGACATACATACTTCCTTCCTTTCAACCTGATGATCATCAAATATTCATATTTAAGAAGACATCAAAGTAGCATTTTTTAACGCTTTTCTAACTTCTAAAAAGTAAATTGATGAAAGCACTTTTTCCTAGTGATACAATGCAAACAGAAGCTGTTAACGTTTGAGGAAGCTAAAGGAGATCTTAAAACTGTCAGCGATCATCGTAAACCTTTCAAAACTAGTCCCTCTTTTTCTCTTTTAAAATTACCAACATCACGCATTTACTCGAAAATATATTTATTATGCGACATTTATAGCTTACACCGAAACACGGAATTCTTCAGATAACGGCATTAATTTGTATCGCATAAAAAATTATTTCATTTATCTACCTAATGTTATCTTGTCCGGATGCATAAATAGAAAATAACTGAGGCTAGTTGAACGGCCTATCTATAGTTTAATTAAATTTTTGTTACCGGAAGTAATAAAAAAGTTTTAATAATTACCTACTAGGGCATTCCTGTTACGATTACACTGAGAAACTTTGATGGTTTTTGGCTTATTTTCACTTTTAAACTAACACCAAATTATGGTGTGTTAAATATGGGTGTTTATCAGCTTATAATTAATTAATAAAAAAAATGTGTGCGTATAAAGATTGATCATTTTATAAATTTAAAAATTCCAAGATTTTAGTGTAATAACCCTAACCTTTCGTTATTATTTTTGCATTCAGCGTACAGTTAATTCCATTTCTATAAAAGGAGACTACAGCTGCGAATATCCATAAAAATAAAATAGTTTATCCAGCACATATTTGTCTTCATATACTTTAGTGTTTACTCCGATGGCCGTAATTAATAGACCGTGAAAGTGTTTCACTATAACTTCCGCATGACATTATTATCTTTTAACGGTTAAATAACGTCCGAGATTACGGTTGTCAATGTATGAAAATTCGAGAACACTTCTCGAGTAGACAGAGCAGTAGGATACTTGTAGTTAGAAATTTTTACTTGAACTTTAAAACAAATTTGCAAATTAAGTGTTCATTCTTAGGGTTCAGAATGAACTTATGAACGATGACTTTTATTTTATTGCATTTATTTTTGTTATAAAATAAAAGTAGATATAATATAAAATTGTTTTTTTTTGGGAGTAAGAATGAAGAGTGAATGGTGGGGTACATAGTGTGTGTTTTGTCGGTGTAGGTATGTACGAGCGAGGAGAGCGTAATTCAATGTAAGCTGCAAAGTCACAGGCCGACAGCTTTCTAGATACGTTCGGGGAATAAACACAAACGCCTTCAATATTCCTAATGCCTTTGTTGTAGGAGCTCGCGTCGCGGAGGCGGGGGACGCATGTGCATCAGCGTCACGACGCTTAACACAAGTGCGGGATTACCCAGCGTCGGTCCAGCGGGCTCACTCTCTGCGCTTCTAGTGTCAAGTCGAACCGCGTTTGCTTCTCACCGTTTTGTTCTCGATTTCTCCTAAATTGCCGCGTGAATGTACGTATGAAAAAATCGGTCGTGTCCTTTTGCGCGAAAGAAATCGAAAGAAGAAGGGCTATTTGTCATTCGAGCGGTGGATACAAATCAATGAGTGACGCGAAAAACTGGTCCATGCGATTTTATAAAGACGTCAAGTCGAGTGTGTTTCGTTACGGTATAGCGGGTTTCGTTAGATATGGAGGGGACATTCCCCGATGCATGCTCGTTGACATTTAAAAATTAATTAGTCCATCGGGCCTCCGGATAGGTCAAAGATATGACGAGTGGCGGACGAAGAATTTTACACCACTGGAGGACAATTTCGCGGTGATAGTTTCCGAGCAACGTGTTTTTTTTGTTCTTTCTTAAACTAATACAACCCCCTCAAACATGTGCTTCGAAAACTGACTTTTAACGACTCATTTAGTTTTGTTTTTACGTTTGTTAAACGGGTGAACATGATTCGAAGAAGAAGGAAAATTTAGTTTATGCATTATTGGAACTTATTTCAGGGTAAGTGCGATTAAAAATTACACTTTTTTACTACACAAACATTAAAATTTTAAAATAACATTAAACATGCCGAACTGTTAATCTTAAAAATGATAATTGTATCTACAATTCGTTCAAGTTTAAGGTCAGTATGTCAGTTATTTTTGTGATTATTCCAACTGAAATTTCCTTTATTTAAATAAATATATACGTCTAATTATTTAGTTTAATTTATTTTGCAAGTCAGTAAATTTTATCTTGTAGCAAATTGAAATAATTAAATTAATTGCCGCATTTAATTTAATGGGCTATTAATTTGGTTTTTCAACATTAAAAAACAATTATACGCATTGCATTATAACAATAAAAAGTATAAATTTATTCTATTCAATTCAATACTATTCTATACAATATTTATTTTTTAATTTTAATTATTGCCGACATAATTGGCAATAATAAATAAAAATATTCTTAAAATAGAGATCAAAACTAAATCAGCTCATATATTTCCTCTAACTTTCCTCATATATGTATTTTCTAATACAAATTCTATAATAATAATTACTTGTGTTAATAGCGGTGCTACTGAAAAAAGCCGGTACGATGTTAAAGTAGCATAATTTACTAAATTTGAAATTCTAATAAATTATTGATATACACTTACCTACTCTAGACTGATGAAATTATTTTTGAGACATAATTATGCAACTTATAAAAAGTAGGTATGCTCCTGTGTCTGTGCCTGTAACAAAAATGTATTGTTAGATAACCTGCACTCGGTTCAAAAACTTTCATTTTACAAGGAATTTAAGATTTGAATAGTAGAAAACTTTTTGACAAAATAGAAATTCCTCCCTCGACCAGCGGCAGATAGAATAAGACAGAGACTGTTGTGAACGCTAAATATTCTGTTTACAATGCCCTATTTTAGACCGGGGTTTTAAAAAGATGGGCACATTAAAATATCTATCCTGTTTATCTTCCGTGCACTCCAAAGTGAAAGTTCAAAAAGTGTTCTTTGCAAATTTTGATTTACGATGCAAAGTTTAAAGAATGAATAAAAGTCAGGTTCAGGTTCCTTGTTGCTTGTTTGGGGTTTCTTCGGAAATTTCCTTAATGACGCAATTATTTGCTACATTCATTCACTAAAAGGGAGATTTACAGTTAGTTTTTTATGGGAAATTTTGCTATGAATTAAATTGATGTAAATAATTGTAATTTCTAACTAAAATGTTATTGGAAAAATCTTTTTAGCATATATAAGGATCTAAAATAAAATAGCTTTTTGGCAACACCTACAACACCCGGGTGCGGTTTATTTTCCACACCCCTTTGTCGATTAATTCCTCCCTATACATTTTATAACAATTTCCAGTTGACCACCGACAAGCGTCCATTCAACTTTTTAATTAATTCTCATTACACGATTTTAATTTACCAGTACAGAACATTACATGATGCATTAAACAATTTTAATTAGTTTTTAAGAAAAATATATAAAATTACACTTCCAATTTCCAATCGATAAGTTATCGGTATAGTTTAAATTTTCGAAATTTGCAATAATAAACGCGGCCCTCCTTTCACATCTACATAGGTGCGGATGAAGCGTAATTAATGTTTTATATTTTGTCAGACAATGGCCGGCCATTTATCAATCTCGAATATTTAATTAAAACATGCGGACAATGGATTTCATAAAGATTTATGTGTTTCACAGGCGACGACGTTCCTGAATTGATTAAATTAAAATTTTGTCTCGCGTAACGCGAATTCTGTGGAAAATGTCGCAGAGATTTTTTTTTGGAAAATAATATTTATGCGGATAAGTGTTTACGAAAAGGTCGAGATATTTTTGAGCGTTTTCGTATTTCTTTAGTTAATGCAAAATACATTTTATGTAAGTTTAATACATTTTTCATTAAATTCTGTCGAATAAATAAATTGAATGAGTAAGATACCTACTACCAAATTCTTTCCAATGTTTATTTACCTTATTTTATGCTGATTTTCTGTATTTACAGAATTATTTAATTCACGCCGCGTAAACAGTGAAATCAAGGCTGTTCGGTATTATCAAATTGTTAGTCCCGGTTTTATAAATCTTTCGAATTTTTGAAATATATCCACTTTGTGAATGCTTTCAAATTAATAAAGCTTTTGGCATTGTTTGAAATAATATGACCTAGTACCTTCAGAATAGGAAGTATGACCTGTAAGGCCACAAGATCTCCCCGAAACACGATAAAAACGCGAGACATAGTGAAAAGTAAAGCTACAAATCATGCGACTGCAATATACGATTGCAAAGTTGATATATTCCCGAGAAAGGCTTTGTGTTTACGATCACAACTTTATATATTCGCGAATCCGCGAAATGGTAGGGGACGGACATGGATGACTAATGTTTCCAAAACATCCCTTCAGGCCGCAGATTATTGTTTTTACTTTATTATTGAAGCTTTAAATGTCTCTACTAAATGTGCAAAAAATTGAGATTTATTTCATACGAAAACCGATACCTAAATATAAAAAATATGGTCTTTTTATGCTTGCATTGCGGTAAAATTGCTTCAAATAAAATTACAACTTACCTAAATCCCTAAAATGCACTTAATAACATTTAAAACATTATCAAAAATAATTTTATAAGTAAGAAATAGGAAGTCATAAAATGATATTCATAAGATTATAACGGAATTTATTTTAATGTATGGAAACTGTCTTCCAATTCTAAAAAATTATCATTATTTATTAGGTGTTATGTTCTCACGGTCTAATTAGTTGAATTCGAGAATTATTGAATTTTGTAGGTATATAGGTTTACGATTTATTAATTGCGAAATAAATATTAGTAGGTAGCTCAGAAAGCGGAAATTGTGTCTCCAAGTTTTAACAAATCACATCTTTAGACATGTAAATTAATTGCATATTTAACATATAACACAATAGTTTTGAAAACTTCATATTTTTGCAATTCCGCTTATGATATAAATTCCTGTCGATGATAGAACCATTACAACATAAATTGAAATTGTGAAACCTTGAACCATTTTCTCCGGCCGCGTCCTAAACTTCTCGATAAACGCGATTGTTTGTTCTCAAACGAAAAACAACCTATAAATCAAAAACAAATCGAATTATCAACCCTTCATAGTTCGCTTTCACCTAAACATTAAAGGCCAGGCACACTTAGCAGAGCCAGGAATTTCGTCTCCAACGGAGGAATATCTCACTTTCTCCCTAACATCAGGAATAATGAATGTTCCGCCGCAGTATTTTGTAAATCTCTAGATGAATCAGCGGCGTTTCGAAATTATTTCGATTCGTAGAAAAATATACCTTTTCGAAGCAATATAATAAAATTACAATTTACCTTTATTTATCTATTATTCAAATTTTCTATCACATATGTCAACTATCTGCATACCTACAATACACTTAGTACAAATGTATGTAATAGTTACGATTAATATGAATAGTTAACAGGTATTACACAATAAGTTACATGATGCATTAAGTGTTGCAATAAATGCACCAATCCCCCCCCTTTTGGCCGGTCCCTGGTTATTGGTGGAGCGAAATAGCGAGGCAGCGCAGCACGGATTTGGAATCCTCCACCGTCTCCGTGCCGCTTCCAGTTTATGGTCTCTGGAAAGCCTATATAAGCGTTATCACTTAGTTCGCCCGGCCCCGGCTTCTCCTATAATACATTACCGATACTTGCTGAAGTGTGAAGATGTATTTTAGACGTTTTCGGAATTAATCTGAGGATTCGGGCGCTGTTTATCAAACGGCTGTCGGTCGGAGGCGGTGCCGTTTAATTGGAAATTGTATTAACAATCTTTTTTCAATGCCGTAGATTAATGCGCTCGTATTTGTAGCATGATTTTAACGTGCATACAGGCGGACGGTGCTCACAGCATTGGAATATTAATTGCGTTCCACGGTATTCCGTTTGGATTCGTCTTCGATCGGTATTTGCATATAAATTATGTTTGTTTTTTTGTTACGAAATATTCTTTTAACATTAATTATCTGCACTTATTACTTTATGAAGTTTTGCTCAACGAGTTGATAGGTACAGTTTTTCCAAAGACAATTTGTAGTTAAAATGTATGCGAGGTGGAACTTTGTTGTGAAAACATCTGTTTTATAATTTCTTTAATTATACTTATCGTGCGTACAATGGGGCTTCGCGCGTCAATAAATTTAAAAGTGTGCTAAAATAATTTAACCGGTAACCAGTGTTAACATTGGGGCAGTCCATAAAGAGCAATTTGTATGCAAATGGGCTATTGATTATACGCTTATTGATTCTCGTACCCATTTCCAAGAATGATCCGGTACAACGAAGTTTATACTTTAGCAACTCGAGTTCGTACAGAACACATATCGATTATAGCATATAGTTCCGGTTACTCACGTGCCAATGTTAGCGGTAGTTTATTTACGAATAAACGAATATAATTTGAGGGTTGCAAAAGATGGATGGGTTTCAGCCGACCCCCCGATTATCATCGCGCCCACCGCTGCGGTGGTCTTGAATATATGCAAAGTATATCATTTTAAATAATTCAGCGGCCCATCGTGCACGGCGCAATCGGCGGTGCTAACGCATAATGCAACAATGGCGTCAACCTGTCTCGTAAATCAAAATCGACGGGCGATACCAACAGTCGTTACAGATATTTTTACGGCTTCTGTTCCGTTCCGATTGAGTATCTGCTCGACCAATCACACGTGCTGATATGCAATGCATCTGTTGTGTAAAATAAACGCTTGATTTATCGGCTTTCAATAATTTTATAAAGCGATTATTTTATTAAACAATACCTATAGGCTGCGATATCGAACGAACGGATGGTTATTTATAGTCGACGCTCGTCACGTGACTGAAATGAATTGGGGATAAAACGGTGTCTAAACTCTATTTTGTACATTCGCGTGACTTATTTTTTATTTTTAACCGATGCTTAATTGAAAACAAAATTAGATCTGGGTGGTTGCACTATTGATAG